ACATGGACACTAAACAACATGATGTTAAAAAACTTTTAGGTCTATATGGAAATCAAAACAGAAAATAAAAAGATTCCTGGAAACAAATGAAAACAAAGAAACATCTTACCAAAATCTCTGGGATGCCATGAAATCAGTACTAAGACGGAAATTCATCTCTCTACAAACATACATGAAAAAAATGGAAAGATCACAAATTACCAGACTAATAAATTACCTAAGGAAGCCGGAAAAGCAAGACCAACAAATTCCTAACTTCAGCAGAAAAATCAAGACTACCAAAATAAAAACCCAAATTTGGGACATAGAAGACAAAAATATAATACAAAAAATCAACAAAACAAAAACATGGTTTGCTGAAAGGATAAACAAGATTGATGGACCCCCTAGCTAGACTGACTAAGAAAAAGAGAGAAAAAGCCCAAACACAATCAGAAATGCAAAAGATGAAATCACAACTGACCTTGAAGAAATACAAAAGATTGTCAGAGATTACTATGTACACTTGCATAAAGACAAACTTGAAAACCTAAAAGAAATGGAGAGCTTTCTGTCATTACACAACCTCCCCAGGTTGAAACAAGACGAAATCGAGAACATAAATAGAACAATAAAAACACAGGGGCGGGACACAGTGGCTCATGCCTATAATCCCACCACTTTGGGAGGCCAAGGTAAGAGGAGTACCTGAGCCCATGGATTTGAGACCAGACTGGGCAATTTGGTGAGACCTCATTTCTATAATAAATCAACAAATTAGTTGGGCATGGTGTTATGTGCCTGTAGTTCAGCTACTTGGAAGGCTGAGACAGGAGGATTTCCTGAGCCCAGCAGGTCAAGGCTGGGATGGCTGGGAACATGCCACTGGACACAAGAGTGAGACTCCAACTAAAACAAAACAGAACACACCAAAAAAAAAAACAACCCAGAAAATTGACAATGTCATAAGAAAACTGCCTACAAAAAAAAAGCCCTGGACCTGGCTAGGCTCAGTGGCTCAGCCTGTAATTCCAGTGCTTTGGGAGGCCGAGGAGAGTGGATTGCCTGAGCCCGCGGGTTCGAGACCCACCTGGGCAACTTGGTGAGACCTCATCTCTACAATAAATCAAAAAATTAGCCGGGTGTGGTAGCACGCGCCTGTAGTTCCGGCTACTTGGAAGGCTGAGGCGGAAGGATCGCCAGAGCCCAGCAGGTCGAGACTGCAGTGGCCAGGAGCATGCCACTGCACTCCAGTCTGGGTGACAGAGTGAGACTCCAACTCAAAAAAAAAAAAAAAAGCCTTGGACCTGATGGCTTGCCAGCAGAATTCTACAAAACATATAAGGCAAGGAGGAGCTGATACCAATCCTATTGAATGTATTCCAGGCAATAGAGAAAGATGGAACTCTCCTCAAATCATTTTATGAAGCTAACATCACACTGATATCCAAACCAGATAAAGACCCAACAAAGAAAGAGAACTACAGGCCAATAACCTTGATGAACACAGATGCTAAAATTCTCAACAAGATTCTAGCAAACCAGTTTCAACAACACAACTCAAAAATCATCCACAAGGCCGGGCGTGGCTCAAGCCTGTAATCCCAGCACTTTTGGAGGCCAAGGTGAGAGGACTGCCTGAGCCCACAGGCTCAAGACCAGCCTGGGCAACATGGTGAGACCTTGTCTCTACAATAAATCAAAAAATTAGCCAAGTTCTGGCTACCTGGAAGGCTGAGGCAGAAGGATCACCTGAGTCCACAGAGTGAAACGTCTACAAAAAAAAAAAAATCATCTGCCATGACCAAATAGGCTTCATCCTCGGGATGCGGGACTGGTTAAACATCCACAAGACCATAAACGTAATTAAATACATCAACAGATGTAAAGACAAAAACCACAAGATTATATCATTAGACGCAGAAAAAGCTTTCAATAAAATCCAGCGTCCCTTCTTGATAAAAACCCTCTAACATAGGCTCAAAATAGTAAGAGCCATATACGAGAAACCCACAGCCAACATACTGCTAAACAGAGAGAAATTGGAACCATTTCCCCTGAAAACCAGAACAAGACAAGGATGTCCACTCTCATCCCTCCTGTTCAACATAGTACTGGAAGTCCTAGCTAGAGCAATCAGACAAGAGAAGGAAATCACAGGGGTCCAAATAGGAAGAGAGAGGAAGTTAAGTTATCCCTCTTTGTAGACATGATTCTATATTTCAAAAACCCAAGAGATCTGTCAGAAACCTCCTTGCACTGATAAAGACAGTTGCATTCCTCTATACCAACAATAAACAAATAGAAACCCAAGTAAAAAGCACAATCCCATTCACAATAGTCACACACAAAAAAAAAAAGAAAAAGAAAAGTAATACCTTGGCATCTTCCTAACTACAGAAGTGAAACACCTTTACAATGAAAACTACAAAACACTGTTCAAAGAAATCAATGATGCAAACAAATGGAACAATATTCCATGCCCATGGATTGGAAAAATCAACATTGTTAAGATGTCCATCCTACCCAAGGCAATCTACAGATTTAATGCAATACCCATTACATTACCAGCAGCATTCTTCTCAGATCTGGAAACAATACAGGAATTCAAATGGAACCATAGACGACCAGAAATAGCCAAAACAATCCTCAGCAAAAGAAACAAAGCAGGAGGTATCACACTCCCAGACTTTAAACTATATTATACAGCTGGCATTGGTACAAGAACAGGCATGTAGACCAATGGTACAGGATAGATTCCAGAAGCAGAATCTCAATTTCTCAACCAACTCATCTTCAACAAAGCCTCCTCAAAAAAAAAAAAAAACCACTGGAGAGAGGAGAACCTATTCAGTAAATGGTACTGGGAAAACTGGCTGATCACATGCAGAAGATTAAAACAAGATCCCTACCTATCACCAACACAAAAATCAACTTTGATTTTTGTGTTGGTGATAGGTAGGGATCCTGTTTTAGAACCTTAGAAAATGCAAGAAGCCGGGCTCGGTGGCTCGCCTGTAATCCCGCGCCTTTGGGAGGCTGAGATGAGTGGATTGCCTGAGCTCGCGGGTTCGAGACCCGCCTAGGCAACTTGGCGAGACCTCACCTCTACAATAAATAAAAAATTAGCCAGGCGTGGTAGTGAGCGCCTGTAATTCCAGCTACTCGGAAGGCTGAGGCGGAAGGATCACCAGAGCCCAGCAGGTCGAGGCTGCAGTGGCCGAGAGCAGCCACTGCACTCCAGTCTGGGCGAAAGAGTAAGACTACAACTCAAGAAGAAAAAAAAAAGAAAATGCAAGAGACACCCTTATGGAAATTGGACTTGGCAACCAATTTCTGATCAAAACTCCAAATGCCCATGACATAAGAGATAAGACAAGTGGGACCTCATCAAACTGACAAGCTTCTGCAAAGCCAAAGAAACCATCAAGAGAGTGGGGAAACAGCCCACAGACTGGGAAAAAATATTTGCCAACTGTATGTAGGATCTATGAGGAACCCAAACACGCCTAAACGAAACAAACAGCCCCATTACAAAGTGGGCGTAAGACATGAATAGACATTTCTCAAAAAAATACATATGAGCAGTCAACAGATACATGAAAAAATACTCAGCCTCACTAGTCATCGAAGAAATGCAAATTAAAACCACACTGAGATACCCACCTAACTCCAGACAGGATAGCCATCATCAATAACTCAAAAAACAACAGATGCTAGAGAGGATGAGGGGAAAAGAGAACACTTCTACACTTTGGTGGGTGTGTAAACTAGTACAGCCTCTGTGGAAAACAGTGTGGCGATTTCTAAAGTATTTAAAAATTGACCTCCCATATGACCCCGCAATCTCCCTACTGGGATTTGGTGGAACTCAAATCACTCTGAAAAAGATACCTGCACATGCATGTTTACTGCAGCTTTATTCACAATGCAAAAACATGGAACCAACTGTGCTGCCCATTGAAAGAGGATTGGATTAAAAAAATGTGGTACATAAACACGATGGAATATTACACAGTCATAAAGAAGGACAAAATTATGAACTTCGCAGCAACTTGGATGGACTTAGGGTCTATGATACTGAGTGGTCTTTCACAGAAACAAAGAACCAAGTATCACATTTTCTCACTCATAAGCAGACCCTGAACAACTATCGTAATTCTATAAAAAAGGGATGGGCAATAATGGGAAACTGCCAGGGGAGGGGGCATACCTCATCAACAAGGATACCTGCATAATGAACATTTGTATACCTAACCCTGAACTGTACCCCACATATTTAAAATTTTTTTTAAAAAAAAATTTTTTTTTTAAAAAGAAGGCCAAGCATGGTGGCTCAAGCCTGTAATCCCAGCACTTTTGGAGGCCGAGACAATAGGATTGCCTAAGCTCAGGGGTTCGAGAACAAAATATAAGCCAGGCATGGTATCATGAGCCTGTAATTCCAGTTATTTGGAAGGCTAAGGCAGAAGGATCACCTGAACCCAACAGGTCGAGGCTGCGATGGTCATGAGTATGCCACTGCACTCCAACCTGGGCAACAGAGAGACTCCCACACACACACAAAAAGAAACGCATCTCCTTTTTAAACTACCTATGTTAAAATCTTTTTAAAAAGACAATCAAGTCTCTAAAAAATAGGATATTCATACTGCTTCTGCTTTCACAAATGTATTTATAAAGGTCGGGCATAGTGGGGTGGCTCACACCTATAATACCAACACTTTGGGAGGAAGAGGCGAGAGGACTGCCTGAGCCCAGGAATTCGAGACCAGCCTGGGCAACTAGGCGGGACCTCGTCTCTACAAAAAATAAAAAAACTAGCCAGGTGTGGTAGCCCACTCCTGTAGTTCCGGCTACTTGAAAGGCTGAGGTGGAAAGATCGCCTGAGCGCAGCAGACCAAGGTTGCAGTGGCCATGATTGTGTCATTGCACTCTAGCTTAGGTGACAGAATTACAATCTGACTCAAAAAAAAGTATTTATGAATATAACCAATTATTTTTTAAAAGAAAAAAATTACCTTTGAATTTCTTCTGGGAAAGTCGCGCTAAACATAAGGGTTTGACGCTGTTCCTTTGATGGCATTCCTGGGCAATAAATTAACTTCTTCATTTCTGGTCCAAAACCCATATCCAACATTCGATCAGCTTCATCCAAAACTAAATATTTGACTTTTGAGAGACCAATCTTTAATAATATTTTCAAGGGTAAGAACAGAAAATGCATACTTAGTTTATATTAAACTAAAATATTCTCCACAATTCCAACTGTTATGCTTTTCTTACAAAGACTAGAAATCAATGCACAAAATAAAAATTGTTGTTTAGATAATACTATTACTGTTTATTCCAGTTCTCAATTTCTGTTACAAAGTATTTTAAAAATTAAGTCTAAAATAAATCAAATATGTAGATCAACACTGTGCAGTAAAACTTTCTGCAATTACTTAAAAGCTCTATAATCCACACTATCATGTTGGCCACCACAGCCAAATTCAGCTAGGCTGAAGGAACATGTTCTGAGTAACCACTTTAGAGCCTAAAAAAAGCAAATCTGGTTCATTAAGGTAAACTTAAAGTACTGGTTTAGAGATGTAAAAAAACTGCGGCAGGCAGCAGACACTCTCACTGCTGTCATGCCCACTGTGCCCTTCAAAATGTATCTTCCTTTTAATAAATCTTTCCTAAAAAAATTGGTATGTAAATTTCTGAGTAAGTACATGGCCCAAAAATCTCTTTTAAAGATTTAGAAAATTAGAAATCCTGGTTAATATTACTCACGTGCTTGCTTATACATGAGACACAATTATTGAGCCACAAAGGGTTTCTTACAAGAGAAAAACTATTTCACCAAGACATATATAAAAGTTGATTGAAAACATTTGTTGCATTTTTCTCCCAGTGTAGTAGAATATAGCATGGAACCTGAAATCAGACCTAGATTCTAACACCAGCCCTATAACTTACTAGAGCTAAGAGATTTTAAATAAATTATATGATCTTATAATCTCACTGTGATTACTTTCCCAAGTATAAAGTGGGAAATACTACTTATATCCTATTGGGATTATCTTGAGCAGTATATGAGAATGCATTCAAAGAATCTGATGGAGCCTAACATATAAATGGTGCTCCAATAAATACCCCATTCCTCCCTTTCCCATGCAAAAAAAATCACCAGCCTTACAACTTTGCTATCCTTATAGGACCTACCTTTTCTTTACCTATGATATCCATCAGTCTTCCAGGAGTAGCACATAATATATTACATCCTTGTACTATTTGTCGAATTGAATATCCCAGCTGGGTTCCCCCATATAAAACAACAGCTCTTACACAAGTCCTATTGACAAGAAAAATAAACGTCATTTTCTAGATACTTGAATATTAGGCATTTTGTTTCTAACAAAATATAAAGCAAAATCCATTTTTTTAAAAAAACCAATAACATTTAACTATCCAAAAATATTAAATTTTGCCCAGGAAGAACTTGAAGACAATGTTTAAAAAAAAAATGACCAACCAGGGGAAAAAATTTTGCAACCTATCTGATAAAGAGCTCTTCAAAAACAATGACAAATACCACTAACCTCCTCCCCAAATACACCCACCACACAGGGGGGAAAAAAGCCAAAGATATAAGCAATGGTCTATATAAAACATAAATGGGTTTTTAAACATTAAAAAAAGTTCACCATTACTTTAAAAAGAAAACAGTTTCCCCCAAGTGTAATAATACCACGTTAGCCAGGGTGTAGGGGAATTAGTACAAGTTAAATCGACAGAACTCTCTCAGAATTGTAATCTCGATTAAATTTTAAAATGTGTCCATTATTCCACTAAATTCACATCTAGAAATTTATCATTCAGATATGTTCCCACAATAGGCAGAGAGGAATAATAATATACACTCACCGCCACTATATTTTTAGTACCAAAAGACTGAAAACTGCCTAAGTGTCTTTAGTAGAGGACTTAAACTGTAGTATAACGATACAAAATATATATATATATCATAAAAAGAGCCACAGTTCTAGATTAAGCATTATCTCCAACACTGCCAGTTTAAAAAAAAAGAAAAAACACAGAAAACCCAGGTTCCATCAGCTAAATATGCCACCATTTGTCAAGAGGAGGATTAAAGTGCATACACGTGCACTACTTCTGCAAATTCATATGAAACTGTTAACAGTGGGTAACTGAAGAGGAAAATCAAACTAGAGGTAAAGAACATAATAAAATTTTATATTTCATTAAATAAACTAATTGTTTTAAGTGGCTTATTCTCCTCTATTGTGAGGACTAAATGAGTTAAAAACATATAAAACACATAACTTAGCATATGCTAAGTATTCAATAATTTATCACCATTATTATTCTATTATGTGCCATATTTAATCCTCTACTGATGAACATTTAGATATTTCTCAGTCTTTCATTGCAACAATGTTGCAACAAATATCCATGTCGAAATTTCCTTCTTTGTGCATATATAGTATCTGAATTCACCATGCACATTTTGCTTTTTTTATTTTTTTGAGTTGGAGTCTCACTCCGTTGCCCAGACAGGAGTGCAGTGGCCGCTCCCAGCCACCGCAGCCTCAACCTGCTGGGCTCTGGCGATCCTTCTGCCTCAGCCTTCCGAGTAGCCGGAATTACAGGCATGCGCTACCACGCCCAGCTGATTTTTTGATTATTGTAGAGATGAGGTCTTGCTGCCCAGGCGGGTCTCAAACCCGCGGGCTCAGGCAATCCACTCACCTCAGCCTCCCAAAGGCGCGGGATTACAGGCTGAGCCACCAAGCCCGGCATACATTTTGCTTTTTAAAAAGAAAATATTTGTAATCATCTTTTATTTGATTTATACAGCATATTAAGATTAGCAAGAAATAACACTGATATAATTCATATTTACTTTTTCCAAAAGATCTATCAAGTTTGATATTCAAGTGATTTTAACAATCCTGAGAAAAAAAATGAAGACACCTGTTGTGGTTTTAAAATACACCAATATTCCTTCCTTCAAATACGGATCCTAACTCGCTTCCTTCAAATATAGATCCTAACTTGTCCTTAAGTGTGTAGGCAAGGCTGGCTTCATAGATGTACAACCTGAGCAGTCACCCAAGGTCACAAGTTTAGAAGATTTCTGTGCTTGATTTAATGCTCTGCTGTTGCTGTCCTGAAATCTGTAGTAAGTTTAGAACAAAGGACCTTACACTTTCTTTCATTTTGTACTAGCCCCAGTAAATTCTAACAGCCAGTCCTGAGTGTGGGCTAGACTTTGAAGAGTGACAATGTATGACTTCTGAAGCTATTTCATAATGGTTACTAAAGCTTCCTCACTGTTCTTACTGACCACTCTATCTAGAGGAGGCCAGTGCCATTTAAAAGAGAATCAAGAATCCTTATGGAGATATCCAGTCAAGCCTTCAGATGACTAGAATTCTGGCTGACATCTTGTATGAAACCTCTTAAGAGAACTCCAAGACAGAAACACCCAGCTAGATTGCTCCCCAATTCCTAACCTCCAGAAACCATGAGATAGTAAATGTTTCTTGTAAGCAACTAGGTTTTAAGGTAATTTGCTAGGCAGCAACAGATAACTAGTACAATACCAAATGTTGGCAAAGGGTATAGTAAAACTGGATTTTTCACAAACTGCTGGCAAAAATATATATTTGTGCAAGCTTTAAAATAAGTTCTTGCTCTTCAAAATTAAAACTGATAAAACTCTATTCTTAGGTATACTTAAAACAGAAAAACTTTATGTAGCAAGATGTTCATTGCAATTTTGCTTACAATGGCTCCATGTTAGAAAGAAACTAAATACCCCAAAACAGAGAAATAAAACGTGTATACATGGACCATTTAAAAGTCATTAAATATTAGGTATGACTATACAATAAGCAGTTTTCCATATTACAAAATTATACGCAAAAAATAGAAAATTATTAAGAACATTTAAGTTCATTTTAAGATATGCATTTAAAACCACCAAGAATATACTATTTTCTACTCTAATTATCTAATTATCTATTTTTAATCATCCAATTATCTATCTGTTTTAGAGACAGGGTCTTGCTTTGTTGACCAGGTTGGTCTCAAACTTTGGTCCTCACTCAATCCTCTTGTATCAGCCTCACAAAATGTTGCGATTACAGGTAAGAGCCACCACGCCCCAGTCTACTTACTAATTTTTATAATCATTTTTTAAAATAAAAATAAACAGGATTCCATTAACAAGATTATGAAAAAACACTTCAATCAAGTAAGCCAAAAACTGATTACTGAGTTCCTCCCAAAATAAGTAAGAAAAAAATCTCTAAAGAAAGCCTATATTTTGAGTGTCATTCCTAATATACTTACCCAAAAGAAAACTTTCTGGCTTCCAAATAAATCTGGTTGATCAATTCTCGAGTTGGTGCTACAATAATACACTCTGGTTCTTGTAGCTCTTTAAAACGACTAGCAGTTATTCCATCACGCATCATATGAGCCAAAATTGGCAAAAGAAAAGCCGCCTAGAAGTTAAATCACCTGATTTACAAATTTATAGTGTATGACTTTTATCCCCATGGAAAACTCTTTCTCATGTCCTTATAGTCTTTAGATTGTACTTCCATTTTGCTGGCAAATTTAAGATGAGAAATGAACATCTTTATTTCAATGAGTGGTTAATATTTAGGTCCTTAGGCTCATACTATAACATTTGATAAAATTAACCTATCCTATCAAAATATTTTTTGGTATATTTTTAAAAGTATGCCCATGGATCCTAAATAGATCGATAATATTAACTTATTTAAAGAGGGGAATGTAGATATAATTTGATGGTAATTATACCTACAAACAGTTATTCTAAATTAGTCTTTTTGAAGTAGTGCTAACATTGTCACTCAGAATGCATGATAAAAGTGGTCCACAGGGAGAAAAAATTTGGAAATCATCATTTTGACTGCTAAATACATCACCTTTATTGAAGTTAAATCTGGCAATAGAAATTTTGTGGTACAGTTTTCTCAGTGAAGCAAATAAGACACCTACTAAACTACCTCCAAAACCATGTTTAACTCCCTCATCAGCTGCTATATTACACAACTCACCTATTTTCCCTTCATCTATGAAGGCAGATTAAGACTAAAATAGTATAAACTCATGGATTCTATGAGCCTGGAAATAATAGTCTCATCTCACCAATCCCTTTGGAGATTTCTCAAAGAACTAAAAGAAGATCTACCATTTGACCCAGCAATAAGTAACAGAGGTCATTATACAAAAATGCACTCATCTGCTTATTGAAGCAGAAATCACAATTGCAAAGATGTGAAATCAACCTAAATGCCCATCAAATGATCAGTGGATAATGGAAATGTGATACATACACACACACACACACACATACACACACACACACACGAAATACTATTCAGTCATTTTTTAAAACATGTCTTTTCCAGCAAGTTGGATGGAACTGGAGAACCATTATCCTAAGTGAAGTAAAACAGGAACAGAAAACCAAACACTGCACATTCTCATTTATAAGTGGGAGCTAAGCTATGGGGGCATCTCCAAAGGCAGATAAAATGGTATAATGACATTAGATACTCAGAAGGGGGAGGGTGGGAAGGGGTGAGGGAAGAAAAATCACCAATTGGGTACAAATATTCACTAGTTGGGGTGACAGGTACACCTAAAAGCTCAGACTTCTTCACTACTACACAATGCATCTATGTAACTAAAAACCATTGTACCCCAAAGCTACTAAAGAAAAAAAAAACTAACAGATTGGATATGTGGGAAAATGACTTACAGTCTTCCCAGACCCTGTTTGAGCACAAGCCATCAAATCTCGTCCTGCTAGTATAATAGGAATACTGTATTTTTGCACAGGAGTAAGTTTAGTATAACCAGCTTTAGCAATGTTTTTATTCAGTGTCTGACAGAGATTAGCTTCTTCAAAAGTCTAAAAAGAAAAAAGAGCAGTGATTAAATTCCATATATTACATGCAGGTTACTTCATATATCAGATGCAGATCATTCCATTTGAACTAGTTTCAAGTTCTATTAATCTTATTTTATATACTAAAGTTACTTTACCAATATGCCCACACTCAAAAGTAAATATCCAGAGACTATATAATATGACTTGGTAGAATCAGGAGATATTCCTCACAAACAGTGGCTCTAAAAACATATTTTCTGACTCCTTAAAACTTGTGAGATATGAAAAACTCTGTTCAGCAATGGCTCATTACAATTACCAATAGGAGACAAAAGACCCTCCTACTCTCCTTAGAAAGTCACCCTCCTCCAAGACACTTTCTCACAATCTTAGGAAGCAAACATCTTGACTCTCTAGGAAAAGTTATCTTTTTTTAAGTAAATTTAAATAAAATCATCCTTGTACAGGGAGTGGAGATAAAATCTAGTGCTTTCTTTTAACATAGCAATTAATCTACTGTAGATGGTAGACATCATTCTAAATGTCCAACCTAAGATTAAATATGAAAGGTAAAATCTGTGTTGATATTAACTTTAAAAATATATCATATATTTTAAAACCAAAGTTTGCTACATAGTCAATACAGAAACAATACACTGACCAGAATTGCCGGTGGTGGATCCTGTCCAGACACTTCTACAAGAATAGTATCATATTTGTCAAAGTTTATGCCTGTCTGATAATGTGCAAAGATGGAGTCCTCATCCTCAGGTGGAGGAGGGGGAATGTAGGTCACTTTTGGTCCTTGGAATTTAAATAAAAAACAATTTACCTTACGGAGACTAGAATAAAAAATAAGAAAAAACTGACAAAATCAAACTTTAAATACTGTAGAATTTCCCACTTTAAAGTTTTCATTGTTCAAATGGAAATAGTATTCAAAATGCTAATTTTATGTCAATAGATTATTATAATATTATTACTGTTGCTTATACTCTTGTATCTCTTTTCCTTATCAGAAAAGAAATGTATCTTCTAAAAGAAACTAAAAGCCTGTGATGAGGGGGATCCCCAAGACCATCCCAGGTTCAATTATTTGCTAGCAAAATAACTTTGCTTTTAAACATTTTGCATTTTAATTAAATACAGTATGCTTTCATGAGAATCATACAAATGTCAATATACCTTGAGTGTCACCACGTTCTCCTTCTGCTTCTGACTTCCAAGAATCTTAAAGGGGATCAAACCAAAAAATAAATTTTTTTAAATTCAAGGAGTAAAAGAACTCTCACTATAAAAACCAAATGCCTTGCCTAAAGTAAAACTTACTCTTTGCAGAGCCTGTTATTACTTCCTCATTTAAACCTTTGTAGCCACCTATTAAAGAAATTCAGTGACAATCAGCAAGGAGGCAAAGCTGTGCATTCTTTCTTTCAATACTAGTCTTCAAAAAGGACAAGTTCTAAAACTGAATGGGTATCTTTAAAGTCTCTTCTTATATAAATAACACGAATACTAAGTTTCCTTAGTATTCAAAATGCTAATTTTATTTCAATAGATTATTATAATATTATTACTTTTGTTTACGCTCTTATATCTCTTTTCCTTATCAGAAATGAAATGTATCTTCTAAAAGAAACTAAAAGCGTGATGAGGGGGATCCCCAACACCATCCCGGGTTCAATTATTTGCTAGGAGGACTCACAGGACTTGCATGGGTTATGATTTATTACAGTGAAAGAATAGGGAGCAAAACCAGCAAAGTGAAAAGGCACATAGGCAAAAGCCCAGAGAAACCAGGCACGAGCTTCCAAGAGTCTTCTCCCACTGGAGTCACACAGGACATGCTTAATTCCACCAGCAATGAGTTATAACAGCGCATACAAAATCTACCAAAGTTCATTAAAGACTCAGTACCTAGAGTTTTTATTAGAGTTTAATAATGTACTTAACTTCTGCCTGGCACATACCAAAGTTCCAGACTCCCAGAAGGAAAGCAAGTATTCACCATAAACCACATTGTACAACAGTTTGGGTGCAATGAGTTACTCTTACCATTAAGGTAGTAGGAATCCTTCCCCAATCCAAGTTCTTGGATGCTAGCTGTGATGGTTAATTGTGAACATCAACTTGTCTAGATTAAGAGATACCCCTGATAGCTGGCAAAGCATTATTTCTGGATATGTCTGTGAAGGTGTTTCCAGAAGAGACTCACATTTGAATCAGTGGAATGAGTAAGAAGTTCCACACCCATCCAATAGGCTGAAGGCCAGATAGAACAAAAAGGCAGAGGAAAAGTAAATTTTCTCTCCTTCTGGAACTGGGACACCCTTCTCCTGCCCTTGGACACCAAAACTTCAGGTTCTTCATCCTTTGGACTCTAGCACTTGCACCAGCAGGCCCCCAGGTTATCAGGCATTTGGCTCCAAAGAGTTACACCATCTTGGTTTCTGAGGTCTTCCAATTTGGACTGAGCCATGATACTGACTTCCCAGGTTACCTAGCTTTCAGAAAGCCTATCACAGGACTTCTCAGCCTCCATACTATCATGAGCAAATTCCCCTATAAGCCCCACTCTTATCCATCCATCCATCCATCCATCCATCCATCCATCCATCCATCCATTCATTCATCTCCCTTCATCTCTCCCATTGCTTCTGTGTCTTAAGAACCCTACCAACCTTGAAAGCAGGATTTTCAATTTCATTTATTGATGAATTTTAGGTGAACAACAGTCAGCCTATTAATACTTTTCTATATACCACCCTTCTGATTGTGCCACATTTAGGTACGTGGCTGTATTAGATTCAAAAGCTAATTAGATGTAACACTTTTTACACAAACTCTCTAATTTCCTTATCCTGAATGTCTATAAGTCTTTTCTTTCTTTCTTTCTTTCTTTTTTTTTTTTTTGAGTCAGGGTCTCACTCTGTTGCCAAGGCTGAAGTGCAGTGGCACGATCACGGCTCACTGCAGCCTCGACCTCTTGCACTCAAGCAATCCTCCCACCTTAGCCTCTTGAGTTGCTGGGACTATAGGCATACTCCACTATGTCCAGCTAATTGTTTTATTTTTTTGTAGAGATGAGGTCTTGCTATATTGCCCAGGCTGGTGTCCCATTCCTGGGCTCAAGCAATCCTCCCATCTTGGCCTCCCAAAGTATCGGGATTAAGGGCATGAGCCACTGTACCTAGCCTACAACTTTTTGAGAGTTTTTGTTTTGTTTTTGAGTCAGGGGTCTCAATCTGTCACCCAGGCTGGAGTACAGTGCCATGATCATGGCTCATTGCAGCCTCAACCTCCTGGGCTCAGGCGATCCTTCCGCCTCAGTCTCCCAAGTAGTGGGGGCTACAGGCATGTGCCACCACACCCAGCTAATTTTTTGTGTGTTGCTTTTTTTCTCTGAATATGGGGTTCTCACTTTGTTGCCCAGGCTGGTCTTGAACTCCTCACCTCAAGTGAACCTCCTGCCTCAGCCTCCCAAAATGCTGGGATTACAGGTGTGAGGCACCATGCTCTGTCCATAGGACTTGAAATTCTTCTTTATATAAGATGTGAGTATCTGTGAAGGTCTGATTTAGCTAGTGTTTAATAAACTTTTTCTATATTGAAGAATCTAAGAATCTGGGGAGGCAGGTTGTCAGACTAATGATAATTACTGAGACTCTTTCAAAGACATCAAAGAAGCTTCACTCACTGGTTTACCAGTCTGGAAGACATATTAATTTTTATGTGGCATTTACCTATTTATACTTTGAAAAACAATTTAAGAATAGAAATATTATATATATTGAACTTTCTTTATCCCTTACACCAAATCAAATAACTATCATATGATTTTTAAAAACATACTGGGCTCATACCTGTAATCCCAGCAACTTTGGGAGGCTGAGGCAGGAAGATCACTTGAGCCCCCAAAAATTTGAGACCTGCCTAGGCAACACAGAGAGACCTTGTCTCAACAAAAAAAAAAAAAATGAGAAATTAGCCAGGCATAGGGGCACATGCCTGTAGTTCCAGCTACTCAAGAGGCTGAGGGGGAAAGATTGCCTGAGCCCAGGAGGTTGAGGCTGTGACAAGCCAAGACTGTGCCACTGCACTCCACCTTGGGCAATAGAGAACTTGTCTCAAAAAAAAAAAGGATATTTTATTTTAATAAGGATTTATACATATAAATATATCTCAATATTTAACCTCTGCAAAATATTTCATGACTATATTATTTACTAAATATTATAATTTATTGATGAATTTGAAATAATTTTCAGTTTTCAATTATTATAAATGAAGCTTCAGTGAACACCCTTGTACATGTATTTTCAAATATGTCTATAATATATAATTCCTATAATGGAATTGCTGGATTGGAGAGAAACTAGCCTGGAGAATATTAAGGAATTCTCAAAAAGCGACAGTGCAAATTTACACTCCTCACAGTATATAAAAGCAGAAACAGTTACCCTTAATGTCAAAAATTACATTTGGATTACAGTAATTTTAATCTCTTATAGGTAAACCAAATAAGAACTTACCTCGTCCACCTCCACTTCTGCTTTGAGAAGTGTCGCCGTTACCTGTAAGTTATTGTTTTGCAGAATATTAGAGAAATCACAGCTGTTCCTCAAGCACACAAACCATATGATTATTTCTTTTCTTTTTGAGTCAGAGTCTCACTCTGTTGCCCAGGCTGGAGTGCAGTGGCACACTTACAGCCACCGCAGGCTCAACCTGCTGGGCTCAGATGATCCTTCCTCCTCAGCCTTCCAAGTAGCTGGAACCACAGGCGTGCACCACCACGCCAGGCTAATTTTTTGATTTATAGTAGAAACAACGTCTTGATATGTTGCCCAGGCTGTTCTCAAACCTGTGGACTCAGACAATCTTCTTGTCTCTGCCCCCCAAAGTGCTGCAATTTCAGGCATGAGCCACCATGCCCAGTTCCATATGCTTATTTCTATTCAACACAGGATTCCTAAGTAATTACTCCATATGGTTATTTCTATTCAACAAGAATAATTACTTAGGAATTCTAGTGCCTTAACCCATCCATCTCTTAATTCTAGATTTAAGCATTAATACCATTTGAACATTTTTTGTCAACTGTGCTTCTTTTTCAATTTCACCTCAAATTACACAAATTATTTTCCACTATCTCAGAATCCTTTATTTGAAACCAATGACAGTTTCATTTTCCTTCCTCCAGTTAAAAGAATAATTCAAATTAACTGGCAGATAGCACATAAGAAATAATTCACAGTGCATAAATTTTATAAGGGAGGCAAAGCTATCCATGTATTTTTACCTACAAATCTAAAAGCAAGAAAAATCATGAGCCAAACTAGTATACTTAAACATATACATTAGACTTACTAATCCTAGTGCTAAAAACATATAAATAATTAATACTCAGTAATAAGTTTTCTTTCTCACCTGTGCCTCTTAATGCTGATCTTCTAGAACCAAAAGGGCCACTAGTACGCTGTGAACCCTCATCTTGGTGTGGCTCATTACCTTGATTTGCAGAAAGTAAAATCAGAGTATGTTATTTTTAAGAAGTTTTTTTAATGATTCAGTAAAGAGAAAAAAATCAGGTTTTGGTGCCAGAAGTTAAAATATGCAGGGCAAAATAGTTTAACAAAAATTACAGTGATTATTTTTCTATGTATTAACACAAAAGGATTTAATCTAAGAATTATGACTTCTAGTAAAATAAATTCCTTCCTCAAAATTTATTTTGCTAAAATTATTTTATAAAAGAAGTTAGTGCCCATGCTATGCCAAAATACAATATAAGGAAAAGTTAAATCTCCTCCATAAATGGCCGTAGAAATTTCACATTGCGTCATTTCACTACTTATTCTCCAGAATAGTAGTCCTTGCTCCCACTGTTGCCAAATCAAACCTTACCAATCCTGCATAACAACTCTTCAGATCCCTACACTTTTTAAAAGGTGACAATTCAATAATCTGCCACACAGCTATTAAATCATTATTATAAATGTACGTTATTAGCTTCCAAAACCATGAGTCTGTCTTCTTCTGTTAAGAGGCACATACACTGCATCAGTGACTTCTAAAGACTTCTTAGCTCTAAGGAGTAACAGTTGAAAAAACTAAATGTAGAAAGCAACACTGGTTAAAAAAAAAAAAAAAGGTATGTTGGAAAGTAGAGCCATATTGAAAGGCCACCTATTATAAGGTCAGTCATATTACCAAGGCTCAAAACACTTAACAGTATGTAATATTAAAGAACTGAGTCACACAAGCTTACTTTTAAAATTCATATATTTCAACTTAACCAAATAAGCAATTACATGTGTCTAAAAAATGATGGTATTACAATGTGAGAAATTAATCTGTATCAGCCACTAAGATAAGCTATTCTTATATAATCCTCATAACAACCTTCTTTGATAGATTTTTAAAAATCATTTTCTTCTTAACAGATGAAGCACACCATTTGCAAATCACTACTAACTTGAACTTCCTAGACCAAATCCTCCACGGCAACCTCGGAAACTATCTCTTCCACCTCTTCTGGATGGCCCTGATGCTTCTGGATTATTTCCATCTTGATAGCCTATAATAATAAAATACACACACAAGAACAACACAAAACAACAACAAATCTTGAAATCTTGGGGAAATGATAATGGTCAAATTTAATTTAGGCCTTGAATTAATTCAATAACTTAAGTATTTTAAGGCATTAATAGTTACTAAAAAGAAATGACATACTCAACCAAGAAATTTCAACTTCACTAATATAAATAGATATGACTACAATTAAAAAAAAAAAACACAGCTTGCTTTGAGAATCAAGACTAAAAACGACTAAAAGGAAAAAACAGCACTTGAATAAGACACTGAAAGTCACCAAAACTGTACCATTAACTGAATGTACACAGTCCACATAAAGATTCAATAAATTCTAGGCTTGTTATTTCCTCCCTATAGAATACAGTAAATATTTCAGTCAAAACACAGACATGTATGCATATATAAAGTCTGACTTCCTGTTACATACAATTTCCAATTATATGTAATACCAAAAAATCAGAAGAGAGAGTTCACAGTAAAATTTGATTCCACAACAGGCAGAACCAGATCAATTCAAAACCAAAGTGTCAACTGGGCAGGAAACAAAGAAATCGAGATTGTTTAGTTTATAACTCTTGCAACAATTTACACCTAAAGACAATAATCAGTAAAGGTAAAAATTCTACATATGCTATTTTTCAAAATTAGGTTACATTCATTTTAAAGTCTTCATAAAATGGGACAGGGCTAATTAAAGTAGATTTGTAGTTATGTATATATAACCTAAATCTTATATTCCTCAATCTATCAATGATCTATATATCAATATTTACACCCACATTTTATTTTAAATTATTTATTTGTGCTTCATCTTTTAAGAAACCTTACCAGAGTTTATCTATTTTTTTTTTAAATGCTATCTTCTGAATCTTTTTTTAAAGTTTAAGTTCTTTTCATGAAAGTAAAAGGATATATAAACATATACGTAAATTTAAAATACAATAAATGAAAGCTTGTCTTCAACATCCAGTTTAAGACTAAAACGCTTCCAATACACTCACAGTCCATGCTTTTCTCTTGTTCTTATGTTTCTCTCCTTTTCCCCGAGCACTTCCTCTCCCTCCACCCAACCAGTATCCTGAATTTTTCATTTCCTGTTAATTTAATTTTACCAACTATATACATATCCTTAAGCAACATATTTAGTATTTGAATTTTTATAATATAGTCATACAGAACATATTCATCTGCATATTCTTTTACTCAACTTTGTTGATGTGGGAAACTACTACATTCACTTTTACTGCTGAATACTTCATTGTATCTGTTTCTATTTTCATTTGTGTCTATTATCTTTTTTATTTCCTTCTATTGTCCGAGTTTACTTCTTCCTTTTTAATTACCTGAACACTTAGTTTATTATATTCTCTTCTAATGGATGCATTTAAGGCTACAAAATTTCCTCTAAGATGGTGGCTGCTTTAGATACATCCTCAAAGTTTTAGCATGTTCTGTTTTTATTGTCATTAAATTCTAAATATTTTAGGATCTCCACATGAATTATTATTTATGAACTGAGAAATTAAGTTTCCAAACCATGATAGTTAGGCTTATTGTTATTGATTTCTACTTTTATTGTACTTTAATAAAAGAACATGGTATATGATATATCTATGGTATGTTTTTATGTTTTTGGCCTTAACAGGTAGTCAAATCATATATACTTCCCATATATGCTGGAAAAGTATATAATCCATAATTTTAGTATATATTACTCCAAACAAATAGTAAATCAAGCTTAGTAACTGGTATTCAAATCTGCTATATTCTTACTAATTTCTAATCTGTTCAGTCTATCAAATCCTGAGGGAAAAAAGGGTTAAAACTTAATAGGATTTACACATTTTTTCCTTATGTCTATTATTGTCTGTGTATCTTAATGTGTTGTTAGATTCAAACCACGTTCAGAACTGTAATATCTTTCTGGTGAATTGAGTAATTCTTTCTTAATCCCTTGTAAGTCTACTTTGGCATTTGTCTCCTATTTCCATACCAGCTTTCTTTGGGTTAATATTGAACCAACATTTTTTTCTCTTTATTTTCTACTCTGCACTGAAATATGTTTATATATATTATTATTATTGATATATGGATTTATATTTCTACCATCTTATTTTGTGTTTTCTCTCTATTGGTTTTTTTCAATGCTTTTTGTTTTCTTCTTTCTATTAGTTTTCTCCAAACAGTAAGTTATACATCTTGTTTTTATCAATTTCACCATGAATATTTAAGAAATGTTTAAATTATTTTCAATCTAGTCTCCTTACAATGCTCTGTCCTTCTACTGAATTTCCTCCATTAGTAAGTTACACGTGTTATTCTTTCTCTGATTACCCTTCAATTTTACCTATGTAGGAAATCTTTAAGTTAGTTTCAATCTATTCTCCTTCCCAACTGAGCTGGCAAAGAACTTGTCTTTTCATGTATTATGTTAGTTCTTCTGTGTTTCTAAAACCTTTAAATTAATAGTCATTTTTGCTATAGCTTATATAGTCAATATTATGATTACCAATATTTTTACCTGTTTTACATTTTTACCTTTGTTTTATTGAGTTTGGTTTTTTGGGGGGTGGGGGCTCATCATTGCTTGTTTCCTACTCCTTCCTGAATTCAACTGTCTTCTTACTACTGTATATTATTTAATATTCTTCAACAGCCTGAGAGTATTAAATACCATTTTTATCTGAATGGCATTACTTCTCACTGACAGATAATTAGGTAATTATCTGACTATAGCGATTTGCATTCAGAGCTATTCTCCCTCAGCATTCTGAATCTATTATTCTATTGCACTCTGACCTTCACCTTTACTAACGAAAAAATTCTTTTGTGAATGCGTTGTTCCTCTACTGGTAGATCATAGTTTTATAGTGTTTTAAAATTTTTTGTAATACTATGATTTCAATACATGCATAAGGTGTGAATTTGCTTTTATTTAATTTGCCCAGGACACTTGTGCCTCTCTAGCTCTGGAAAAGTCTCATCTATTCTCTTTGTATAATCTTCTTTCCTCCCCTTGTCCTTCCCGTTTTTCTATTCTCTTCTCAGGAAATATTTAGACATAGTTAGACTATCAGTTCTTATTTTATCTTCCATGCCTTATTAACTGCTTTCATGTTTTCCATTTCCAAATTTAGGAAACTTCCTCAGATCTTTGGATTAATTTATTCTACTCATCTGTGTTTAATCTGTTCAATCCTTCCATTATGTTTGTAATCACTCTATTCTTTCTATAAGTTTAAATTAGGTCCTTTTCAAATCTATCTGCTTTGTTTGAGCCAATGAATGTGCCTCAGACCTCTAGTATCTATATCTTAATGTCTCTCTACACAGTAGAAACTCAAACATTTAAAGAAGCATGCTTTCCCCCATCCCAGAGTTGATGCCAGTTCCAAGTTATATAAGGAGACTATAACTAAGGTGAAAATAACATGGATGTTATGAAAAATCAGAAGTCTGTACAACCATCTTTGATGTAAAGGAAGGGCAGCAACTTCTTGTATACTACACAATCTTAAAAATGATCTTTGTTAAGATAAACAGGCCAAAAGGTAAGAATAAAGTATTATACAGAGTTAAAATGAATGAACTAGATCCACATTTTCAATATACAAATCTCAAAAATACTAAATGAAAATTTCCCAGAAAGATAGATATAGTATTAAATATTTCTAAAAACATGGACAGGAAGTATACATACCAATGTCAAAATAGGGTACCTCTGGGAAAAGGAAGATTTTAAAATATAAAGTTACCCCTTTATAGGGGAAAGTTGAAAAGATGGGCTCTTCAACAATTACAATCTTTTTTCTAGATTTGAAGTAAATATGACAAAATGTTCCTGATAAATCTGGGTAGTAATATACAGGCGTTTGTGATAGAATATTCTGTATTTTCTGAGTTACTAAAATATTTAAAACTTTACCACTTTAAATGTCACTTTTTACAAAATGACATTAATGTATTTTTAAAGGTAACATAAGTCCTTCCAGTGGGTGTATTTTACATTTCATAAGGACAACTGACAATTTCTTGCAATTCTTAAAGACATTTGATAGCAATCTTAAGGAATGACTTTATATATCATTTGACATTTGTCTTTTTAAAAAAATCTTTTTTCATTTACTAGAAATTTAGTAAAGTCACTAAACTGTCAATGTACAAAAGTTAATTATATTTCTATATACTAACAAACAAAATGAAAACTGTAAAATTATATGTATCACTGACATCAACAAAAATGACCAAGTAAGGAACCTCCAAATTCCACTACTCCAAAAAGGCAAGAAAAAAATGGGCAAAAACTATCTAAATTAACTTTTGTCAAACTCTAAAAATGAATCAAAAGCTTGCAGCAACCCAGGGAATATTAAAACAAACCCAAAAATAAGGCTGACTGTTGATAAGAACAAGAAATTTTGTGGCGTTTTAACTTCCTCTAGTTCCATCTCCCAGCAATTCCATGCCTAAGTATATAACCAAAAAATGTGAAAATAGGGACTAAAACAGATAACTGTAGATGAATGCTCATGGCATCATTATCCACAATAGTCAGATAAAAGAAACATCCCAAATTTCTATCAACAGATGAAAAGATAAACTGCAGTAAATATACACAATAGTACATATTCAACTATTAAAATAATGTAATTTTGATTCGTGTTACAGCATAGATGAACACTGAAAAATGAGATGCCAAGTAAAATAAGCCAAACACAACAGAACAAATAAATTGTATGATTCTACTCATATGAAATATCTAAAATAGGGAAATTCATAGAGAACATGAAATAGAGGTTACCAGACCAGGTGTAAGGGAGTATGGGGAGTTACTTGCCTAATGGGGTACAAGGTTTCTGTTTGGGTGATGATAGTGGCACTTAATGCCACAAATTGTATACTTAAAAATAGTTAAAATAGAAATTTTATATCATAGAGATGTCAGCACAAAAAATAGCTGACAATTTCCAAATCTGATTTTAAAAAGTATTAATCTATACATCCAAGAAGCCCAAACTCCAAGGAGGATAAACCCAAAGAGATCCACACCTAGATGCATCAATACAGAACAAAAAGAAATGTTGCTGGGACAACTGGATATCCATATGCAAAAGAATTAAGTTGGATGCCTACCTCACACTATCTGCAAACAGAAACTCAAAATGGATAGAGATTGAAATGTTGAGAACTAAAACTATAAAATTCCTGGAAGGAAACATAGATAAATATCTGCATGACTGTGGATTAGAAAGCAGTTTTCTAGATATACCAAAACAATCAGCAAGGAAAAAAATAGATAAACTGAACTGCATAAAAACATAAAATGTCAGTGGCTGGGAATAGTGGCCAGCACTTTGGGAGACAGAAGTGGAAGGATCACTTGAGCCCAGGAGTTCAAGACCAGCCTGGTCAACAGAGCAACATATAGTCTCTACCAAAAAAAAAAATTAGCTGGGCATGGTGACATATGCCTGTAGTCCCAGCTACTCAGGAGGCTGAGCCCAGGAGTTGGAGGCTGCGGTAAGCCATGATCATGCCACCGCACCCAGCCCAAGCAACAAAGTGAGACTCTGATTTTAAAAAAGTAGCAGCTGGGCTCGGTGGCTCAGCCTGTAATCCCGCACCTTTGGGAGGCTGAGGTGAGTGGATTGCCTGAGCCGTGGGTTCGAGACCTGCCTGGGCAGCAAGACCTCATCTCTACAATAAATCAAAAAATCAGCCAGGCATGGTAGCACATGCCTGTAATTCCGGCTACTCGGAAGGCTGAGGAGGAAGGATCGCCAGAGCCCAGCAGGTCGAGGCTGCGGTGGCTGGGAGTGGCCACTGCACTCCAGTCTGGGCGACCGAGTGAGACTCCAACTCAAAAAAAAAAAAAGTAGCACTTCAAAGTATAACCTCCAAGAAAGTACAAAGATAACCCACAGAAGGTAAAATATGTGAAATTATGAATCGGATGATACTTTATTGAGAATGGATAAATATTAAAACAATAAAAAAAGCAGTCCAATTGTTAAAATGGGCAAACAATCTGAACAGACATTTCTCCAAAGATATACAAATGGCCAATAAGCACAGGAAAAGCTGCTCAATATCAAAATTATCAGAAAATACAAATCAAAACCACAGTAAGATACCATTTCATACTCACTAGAATTGCTGTAATAAAAAAAGAGTTAGCACTGATAGATATAGAGAAATCAGAACACTCAGATATTGAGGATGGGAATGTAAAATGTACAGATGCTGTAGAAAAGTTGTCAATTCCTCAAAAAATTAAACATAAGAGTTACCATACGACACTGCAATTCCACTCCTATGTCTATACTCCAGAAAAATGAAAATGTATGTTCACACAAAAACTTGTATACAAATGTTTATAGCATTAGTCATAATAGCCCCAAAGTGGAAACAACCCAAATGTTCATCAATTAAAGAACAAACAAAACGTGGTATATTCATACAATGGAATATTATTCAGCTATAAAAAGGAATGATACTATCACATGCCTCAAAATGGATGAATCTTGGAAACATCATGCTAAGTGAAAGAAGCCATCCCCACCACAACCCCTCTCCACAATTATCATAATAATGAGACCCAATTGAGGAGACAAATAGCTTTCCCTCACTGTGAAATCCACAAAACCCAACTGTACTAAGGAGGTCCTAATTCAGCCAGTTAACTACCTAATGGGCAAAAGAAAAGGATGTCCCCAGGATGCAGCAAAAATAGTGATGTATCTGATTACTATGCAGTTCCAAACAATAAACTATTTTATCATAGATTAGCACATCTGTAGCAATTTTATAGCAAGTTCACCATGCTTTTTGTTGTTGCTGTTTTAACATAACTGGTCATATATAACCAGGAACTAAGCATCATAATTCTTATACCTCACCTTAATCTCATTAGAGGCAGAATTAGCAGACTATAGTGAAATACTACTAGACTTGAACAAAAAATAATCTACAATTTCTTCCCTTGCCCAAATTTCTAATGACCCCACATTCAGGGACAAAGACATCCCCAGTTCATCTAAATTGTGATCGTCCAAGATTCACACTGTTCCTCTTCTGAAACTTATAGCACGTTTTGGAGACCTTACATTTTAAAAAAGATCCAGTGACATTAGAAAGTGAAAGGCTGGCACCATCTAGATATTTACTCAAGTATTAAAAGCCAAAAACATATGATAAAGTATTTTTCTTCAAAAGTTTTCACATAACAGAATCTATCTTTCTATTAGCTCTGCCAAGATCAGCTTTGTCAGTGTAGAATTTCTGCCTTAAATACAAACTGTTCCAAAATGTGGTCCTTACCGCCTCTCTTGGAAAACCCTCTGTTCCATGTTTGATTATCCTCACAGTCATTATTCGGTTCTTGAATAAAAATGTAATATGTGAATAGCACCTAAATAATTAACTTTAAAAATGCAGTTAATATACAAATAATAGAACTGGCACAAAATAAATCAGTAAAAAAACAAAATAAATATTTTCATAAGTTAAAATATAAAAATTTTATTTCTTCAAATAATTTTAACAGAAATACTAAGGCATTACTCAGAATCAATTCCCTATACAAATCATCTAATGTACCTAAATGTTAAGTATATAACTGAGAATTAACAATTTGCTATACTTAAGCAAAACTAGTCAAAAAATAAGAACATCATAAACGTCAGTGTAACCAAAAATGATTTCAGGAATATCTAAACTATTAATCAAGTGATTCTCACACAGACCACTAGAAACACATGGAGGTGGTGCCGTTCTATTTATAATGTCATCATCTATTTTTCTGTAATTTACCATCCTTAATAAACTGAGACATTGGTCTTTCTTTCTTCCTTTCTTTTTTAAAGCTTGTTGTAGAGACTCCTGTGCTCAAGCAATTCTCCCACCTCGAGCCTCCCAAAGTGCTGGAATTAGAGGCATGAGCCACCAGCGCCCAGGCAGAGTTTTCTTAAATATATGCAAACTTTTTCCCATTCATCCTAATGAAATAATTCAGGAGTAACCTGGCTTCTCCATTTTTAATGACATTAACAAATAACATTACCAAGATTTTAAAACAGTGGTATGAGAGGATTACTGCACTGAAGATTGACTAAGAATTACCTAGAGAGTTGATTAAAAGCAAATTCTTATATCCCATTCCCAGAAAGGTTTATTATGAAAAGAACAAAGAATTTTTCAAAATTTTGAAGTTCTATGTTATTAATATAACTTCAAGCTTTCCAGAATATTCCAAAAATGTCTCATTTGGGAAATACAAATGGTTTCAAAGGCTCTGTGTACATGTCATTAATATTTAAGTCACAGTAATGACAGCAAATGACTAAACAGCTTTTAGGCTACTGATTAAGTCACTGTGTAAAATAACCAAGCTATTTAACAATTAAAATTGTTTTACAATAAACAATGACCCAGATCTCTTACTGCAGGCTCCTATTTGAGCTGTAATTAACAACTGACAAACATTCCTGAAAAGCCATTGAACAACAAGACAACATTTCTGAAAGCAGGACTTAGTATAAGGAAGCTAAGCAGGAAAGAAATAATTTTAGAAAGAAGGTTGACCCTGGAATAATGATAATAGCTACCATGAATTGCTTTAGAGGGAAAAAAAACAAACAAACAATTAATTTGGAACCTGGTAAGAAGACCTCACATTATCTTTGACCAATTGTTTCCCTAAAACAAACCTATTGTTATTTTAACCACACTGGGAATTAAAATAACATTAGGAGAAGCTGGGTGAAGGGTAAATGGAAACCCTCTGTACTATTTTTTCAAATTCTTGTAAATCAAACTACTTCAAAATAAAAAGTTACTAAAAATAATTACTCCTAGCCGGGCTTGGTGGCTCAGCCTGCAATCCCGCGCCTTTGGGAGGCTAAGGTGAGTGGATTGCCTGAGCCCACGGGTTCGAGACCCACCTGGGCAACTTGGCGAGACCTCTACAATAAATTAAAAAAAAAATCAGTCGGGCATGGTAGCACATGCGTAACTGCAGCTACTCAAAGGCTGAGGCGGCAGGATCAGCGGAGCCCAGCAGGTTGAGGCTGCAGTGGCCGGAGCAGCCACTGCACTCCAGTCTGGGTGACAGAGTGAGACTCCAACTCAAAAAAATAAATAAATAAAATAAAATAAAATAATTACTCCTGTAAAGTAGAAAATAAAGCCAAACACAAACAAAACTGAGATAACGATCCCAAGATTATTTGCAAACTATTAATTACGTAATATAAAAATAATAACACACAGAATTCAGTGTGTGCTTGGCACTGTTCTAAATGCATCAAATATATTAACTTTTTAAATCTCCACAAAAACTTTATAAAATGGGTATAAAATCCACATTTTATAAACAGGTCAAATAAAAACAGAAAGGTTAGGTACATTTTTCAAGATAATACAACTGCCAGAAGGAGGATCTGAGTCTCACACCAAGGGTGTCCAACTCAAAAATCTGAGCTCTTTATCACTTCACTATACCAAGTTTGAGGAAAGTAGATTACAGGGCAAAACAATCACAAAATACACTATCCATTTATGTACAGAGTAAAAGCTTCTATCACGAGTTCAAAATCTGAAACTGGGTTTGTCAACAATTGAGAGAATAAAAGAATTCACTGTGATTGTGTGTGTGTGTGTGTGTGTGTGTGTGTGTGTGTGTGTGTGTGTGTGTGTGTGTGTGTGTGTGTATTTCAGGGGGACTAAGAATGAAAACAGAAGTAGACCAAAGCAAATCAAGGAGGCCATGTTGGAAAAAAGTTTTCTCAAGTGCTGTCAGAAACTGAAATTGGTGCTCAAATGCTCTCAGGTCCACTACTTCTAGAAAGGAGTCACCTGGGTAGGAAGGTCTTTGAATGTGTAGACATGGTCTTGAGTATCAAATTGGTTGAAAGTTGAGCGATCAGAACAGAAAGACAAATAGAAATGGAAAAGGAAAAATTATAGTGTTTTTTTCTCTCATAAATACTAGAGTTCTTTGTTATATATGTTTTTATTTGAATGAGACAGGAGAAAAAGAAAAGAAGCAGGGACAAAGAGACTGTCAACAGTGTGGGGAAATAGTCTTATTTGGTACTTTAAAAATTCAGCCTTATTTCAAAAGGATTTTAAGTGATCAGGTCTAAGTTTAGTTTGACTTTGGGAATCAAAGAGTATAATAAGATCCAGTCTTAAATACTAATGAAGACAGGTGGCATTTTATCCAGGGTTTACCATGAATGTGTCTAGTAGTGAGTTTTGTGCTTTCACATGCATTCTCACTTAATCTGCCTAAAAACCTATAAAATAGATGGCCTCCATTCTACAAAATAGAAAACTGTGGCTTAGAAAGATTAAGCGACTTGTTCTACATTTAATTCAACTTGCAGGTAGCAGGTCAGAGACATTAAACCAAGTCTAGAACTCCAAAGTAGACTACGGTGTAAAGAATCCACAGGATCAATGGTTACCAAACAAAGGAGGCATAGAATCACCAGGGATGCTTTTAAGTACAGGTTCTAAAGCTTCACCCAAATAATCAGATTTGGGAAAGCACTGTTTATTACTGTAGTCTATCTTCTGGTAGCATTGCTCTACTCTTATTCTCTATATTCCCTGAGAGTGTCAGTACCTTTGACAGAAATGTCTTTAATCACAGCACTGATTCATATTCTCATTAATCTTCTTCTTAGATGTATTTGAATCTAAATGGAACCCTAAACAACCTAAGCTATATTCATACATGGAGTGGAGTTTCAATTCTTGACTTGCTCTTTCTACTATCTATCCTTAATTTCCTAAAGTAGCAGAGCATTCAAAAATTATAGCTCATAGATTAACTAAGGCAGACAGTTGGCAGGCAACAGGCCAAATTAGAAGGTCTGGATTCTTTCTCTAAGAACCAGTAATATCATTGGTTAAGGTTTTGAATATAGCAGCTGCATAAAACTGGGATTAAATAAATTTGAATTGTACTAAACTAAGTTATTTAATCCTAGTTTCTCTTTAACATGTACTTTGACATTAAAATTTTAAAGGTTAACACAAAACACTGAACTTACCTTTCCAGAAACCAGAGCTATCACCATCTTCAAACTTGCTATTTGAAAAACCTATACAAAATATAAACGGAATGATTTCCTGTACCTCTGTAGAAAAACAAAAAACCTTATAGGGACTACTAGTTACACTGCCCTTTAAGATAAACCATATACAACTGTATATATAGATATTGAATAAGAACTCATTCAGGCTGCTTTATACCAATTATTAGCTCCATTCTCTTAAGGTAAAAATCAACTTCTTTTCAGCCACTTCTATATTACCTCAAATGTCACATTCTCCTCTACAAGTACATGGGCAAAACAGAGGTATATGTCAGTATAACCACTATATTATTTCTATTTCAAAACATCAAAATTCTTAAAGTTTTACAAACTAACACATAATCTCTTCATCTGCTAAAGAACAATACAACTAAATTATAATTCAATATCCAATATTATTTCCCTTCTCAGTAAAACTGAAATCCTGTTAATTTGTTTGTTGACTACTTTTTTGACTGTAGCAAATCTTTATTACAAATAGCTAAATTTCCCCATAATGTCTCAAACAGTATCAAACACCATCTCATATCACTACACAGAGCAGAGTAGGTATTCAGCACTAGAACCAAGTGAGAAGTGTCGAATTTCAAGCTTTTGATCACATCACATGGTAACCAGGAAAAGTTTAGATGTCATTTTCCCACGTTATCCAACTGTGCATCTCAAACATGATGCCATCTCAGTGGAGACAGTTTTATTTCATATTGTAAGTGCAGGAAGTTGAGAGAGATAAAAATCCAGTAAAAACACACTGATCTCAATTCAACTCAGTTAAGAAAAAAACAAAAGCAAACTTAACTTAGTTGTTTCCATGGAAGAAAGGTAAAGGATGGCATGGAGTTAAGAGTCAAAACTATGACAAGGGCTGACAGCCACACATGGTATGTTGTAGCTATCTGTCATGTGAGATTTTAAAATAAAGTGGCTTTTGTGGATTTTTTTCTTTTTTGGTATTGCAAATATGTGCTGTTTAATATTACCCAAATTCAATTTAAAACATTTTTGCAAACAAAACAAAATTCAAAGTTTTTAAGGCAAACATCTTCTAAGGAAAAAAAGAAAGTTATTTGTTATAAAATTGTGAGGATACCCAAGCAAGACCCCAGTTAAGGTTCATCAGCATGAACTTGAGAGCTTTTATCCACTGTTCTTCAGAGTTAAACTGGGTTTTGATGGGATAGGAGCTGCTGCTGCCTCCTGTGCCTTCAATCTTGCCTTCCTCCACATCCCTCCTGTAAGGAAGGTAAAACATGTCTTGCCTTTTTCAACTTCTTTGAACTGCTGCACACAGTCCAGGAAAGCCACCATTGCATGGTCAAATTTGTTGTTCCAGAAAAACCGCAACCACCCCAAAAACAGTGTAACGACAGCTCCTTAGATTTGCCTGTCAGAGACACCAGATATGAATGGTTTCTGTAAGGAACAAGTTGATACTTATGAAATTTCAGACCCATCTTGGCCAGAGCATGGAGCAGCAACACAGTCTGACCCCAAGCAGCATTAATCTCATTCCATTCCATAGGAATACTGGGCAGGCAACCTAGTCCGAAGTTAATGATTGTGCCAAATTGTCCATGGTGCCAGATGTGGAAGGTCACATTGGAGACATTTTCTTCCGCTTGTCCAGCTGCATTTGGGCATAATATATCTGGTTTTCTATGCCCTTCAGCTCATCATCCAGCTCCAGCTGCTGTCTAAACTCACTGTATTGTCTCTGATACTGAGTTTCTTCCTGATCCAGTATCTCAGCCTCAGTCTGGACCTTCTTAAGACTTTTTGCAACGAGCTTGGGGTCCTTCTCCACATCCTCCAGCTCCTGGATCAGCCTCTCCTCCTCTAGCGCCAGCAACTTCAGCTCCATCTGTAGCTGCTCACTGTCATCCTCATTCATTTGCTCTAGGATCTCCAAACATCATTTATACTTCTGACACTCATTTCCAGTGACATTGAGCTGAGTGTTCAGCTGGTCTAAAAGAGTATCTGTGAGATTCCTCACACAGTAGGTGATCCACATCTGTCCGGCCTGACATGATGTCAAAAGGGTCCCCAGTGACCTTCAGTCTTTGTCTGAGGTTCTCCATAGTGCCACCATCAGATATCTCCCCGATCAGAGCAAAGCTGTTGGTGTTATCTGTGGATATAATCCTGGCTGGGGGGATGAATCTGCAAGAGACACTATCCTGGTGAGTTTCAATAAACGGCTTCTCCTCTCCTGAGTTAGCCTCTTCCTCCTGGGTCTCTCCTGGTTTTGTCTGGGCTGTGGTAAGTAATGGAGCTATGAGCTCCTAAATGGTGACCCGATCCAGGAAGTCAAAGTTCGTGTCCAGTTTCAGGGGCTGGCTTCAGTGCTGGCACAAAGCTCAACTGCATGGTGCCGTTGGACATCTTAGACCCCTCCATCCATCGGGACCCTAGAGCCTACTACCCAGGTCTGGTCTACTGTGGGGGCACTGCAGTTGCAGGTCTGGCATGGAATAAGGCCTCCAGATGTGCCACTGCCCAGTCTTCAGCTTGACAACTTTTTTAAAAAAAGGTTTTATCGAGTTCTGCTTTCAAATTTCTTAGCCGGGCTCAGTGGCTCAGCCTGTAATCCCGCACGCCTTTGGGAGGTTGAGGTGAGTGGACTGCCTCAGCCCGCGGGTTCGAGACCCGCGTGGGCAGCAAGACCTCATCTCTACAATAAATCAAAAAATCAGCCAGGCATGGTAGCCCACGCCTGTAATTCCGGCTACTCGGAAGGCTGAGGCAGAAGGATCGCCGGAGCCCAGCAGGCGAGGCTGCGGTGGCCAGGAGCGGCCACTGCACTCCAGTCTGGGCGACCGAGTGAGACTCCAACTCAAAAACAAACAAAAAAATAATAATAAAATTTCTTATTTCCTAAAAACCTATGTTAAAGATTTATGCATCGCTGGAGCATGTAGACATGTCTTTAAAATTAATTTTAAAAGCATCAATCTAGCAAGCTTTCATAAAATTTTTAAATATTGAGTTTTAATACAATGATCTTTAAGCACAAAGATGCTCACGGAATACATACCTTAAAACTAAATGTCAATATGGAATGCCTGTCAGTCAGTGTTTAAATTATAAAATCACTCAAGTTTTGATTGTAAGATATCATAAGCAAGTAATTACTTGTTTCCAAAACCTTTTTCAGCTCTAAAACCACCCACTGTAGATATATTCTCTCCTTTATTAGACTTACCAGCATCTGAAAACATTCAGATAATTTTATGTTAAAGAGTTTAACTAAGTGTGTTATCAAAAACTAGTAATTAAACAAATCTTTGGGGTAGGGAATTTCCAAGGACAGGAAGAGAATAGAATAGAAACCTAAAATTAAAAAGTAATATACTTGCAACTTCTTTTTAAAAACTCTTAAATGATGATACCAAGATAAAAACATAAATCTACTACTGGTAAAATACAGCTTTCTACTAGTTGTTATTTTACTGGAGACCTTCAACCAGGAAAATTTAGCTCCATAATTTTTTATGTTGAATCTTCATCCTGATTAGAGTCAGCTATTACAATCTGCACCAGGTGAAAGTCGCTGCTGTTGAAAACTTTATACTTTTACCTGTTTGTTTGTTTTTTTACTGTTCTATCTGTTCTTTATTTTTCTAGTTCTCTCTCTCATAATCTTTCTACTTTTAAAATTAAAATAAGGGACTACATAAGGCAAAAAAGCTATGAATACAATTCCCCTTTATACCTCCACATCTCACCACACTATTTTCCTGCACTGACCTTAGCTTTATTTCCCATTATATAATTCTTAAACCCAACATTTTAATTCACATAAAACAACTTCCTATGCTCCACATTACCAACTTCTAATACTTTGTATCTTTGTACATGATGTTTCTTCAGTATGGCATTTCTCTGTTTTCCTATTTTTCCTATCAAAATTCATTTCATTCTTAAAAAATCCAATTCTGTAAAGTCTTCCTTCAGCCCTCCATTCATAATTTATCTTTTGTCTACATTCCCACAGCATTTATACCTTTACCTATCTGTACCTTTAAGTAATATTTCTTTCCATATGTTTCTCTACTACTAAATTAACAATCTCAAGCACAGAAATGTGACAAGGAGCATGATTATTTAAAATTAAAAATTAAAAAAAATAGCAGAGACATCCAAAACAGCATAAACTGATATTCAAACTTTCAACGGTGAAAATTAAAGTATTCCCTGTGATCCCTATAAACTGTCTTGCCTGTCTCTATAGCATTCTAATACAGAGGAGTTAAAGGGGATCTGTGCAACTCCTAAAAAACACATGCAAAATTGTGTATGCCCAACTAAGTATTTTCATCAGATTTCAAAGATATGTGTGATTTAAGAAGTTAAAACCACTTAGCCATACTTCACAGAACATAAAAAGCTAATCAATATTGTATTTTAAGCAACTGAGTCAACTTCAAAAACATTACTAATTATACAAGTTCTACTGAGAAAAAAATAAATAATTGAAACAATATAAAATGTTAGATGAATCATAAGAAGTTACACTCATGGGCCCATGAATTTCCCAGATTACATGTAGTATATAAAGATAATTTTTTTAAGTATTAGTATCCAACAGAGAGTCTTAATCAGAATTTAATGTGCATTTCAATTTAAAACATAGAAATAATTTGTGATAAAGTCTGTCTCAGTAATGGTTTGCTCATTGAAAAAGACTTTATTCTACAATATTTAGAAGTCTACATCAAAAAGTATCATATAGTCTCTTCTAAAAAATAATTTTAAAATATATCTAAATATTAATTTTCCTGAATGCAGTACTAAAATGTTATTTCTTATATTAGTAGTAGCTAACAAAAACTATATTTGAACCTCTTAGCACAATTACATGATCCAAATCAGCAATGTATCTTACTTAATATGCAGGTTTAAAAAACAAAATATATATGTATATTTGAATAAATTATTTCCATTAGTAGCAGGAACATGTCAAAATATAAAACTCAAATGTGTGTTCACTGAATCTAAATAAGAAATTAAGTTTTCCAAATGTCAAATGAAACATCACACATCAAAACTTTTAGTTTCCATAATAAAAAAAATCTGGAGACAAAGCTTTTTAAAAAAAATAACATAAATTCAAGGATAAGTGAATATGTTAAATATGTTTATCACCATTATTTTTTTGAGTTAAGTTCTCACTCTGGCACTCAGGCTGGAGTACAGTGGCACAATCACGGCTTACCACTGCCTCAACCTCCTGGGCTCAAGGGATCCTTCTGCCTCAGCCTCCAAGCAGCTGGGATTCCAAGCACGTGCCACCAAGCCCAGGTAATTTTTTTTTTTTTTTTTACAGAGATGAGGTCTCACTATAACTATGTTGCCCAGGCTGGTCTTGAACTTCTGAGCTCAAGCAATCCTCCCACCTTGACCTCCAAAAGTGCTGAGATTTCAGACATTCACCACTGTGCCTGGTGAGAAGTGTTAACTATGTTTAAAACTATCAAATAGCCATAGTTATGGCATCTTTTACAAAGATGATCAAATACATTTTTAAATAAATTTAACTTGAAGTTCTAATATGCTATTGCACAACTATAAAACACAGTGCAGAATATTTTCAGCATTTTAATATTAAATCTAAAAATGGACTGTAGGATGGTGTTTTGCTATGTCATTATCTCTCAAGTCAAGTGTTAGCTGCCCTAAGAGCAAAATTTAAAAAGCCAATCTTGACCAAAAAAACTCTTAAAAAATTAACAATAATGAGGTAACAGAAATGTTTCCTATATTGCCTTTTCTTGAGAAATATAAAACTTAAGAAAAAGGTCCTTCTCATCTCTAATCCCTGAAGCTTTTACAAAGGCATTCTTCATGTCAAATGCTGAAAATCAACATCATAAAAAACAATTAAAAAACAGTTATGTGAAGCATTTGTCCATCCAACCCATCTGTCCAATCAATCTGTCTAATCAATTTAACTACTTCCTACTATCTCAGAAAAGCAACACAACAAAAAAAATTCAACTTGAAAGAATGAACTCATCATCTCAACACAAAGCCAACTACACATAGTTATAACAGACTTAGCTCTCCATCAAACAACCATGAAAGCCTCTATCCACTCCATTACTCAACAGTTGAGAAGATTAAAGACAGACACTTACCTCTGTTTCTCAAACTCCTCTGAGAGGTAAATCCACTTCTCATGAAATGATCTCTTTGAGATGGTCCATTATCCATTTCTAAAGCAAATAACATTGTGAAGCAAATTAAACAAAAGTGAGTATCTAGGCAACTGCAACCTTTAAGCTTTTTCAATGTGCTACATGTGGCTGAGGAAGAATTTTATATAGCAATAAAAAAAAAAAACAAGACAGAGAGCCTAGTAGAAAAATAAGTTATGGGGCTGGGCATGGTGACTCACACTTGCAATCCCCGCAATTTGGGAGGCTGAGGTGGGAAGACTGCTTGAGCCTGGAAGCTCAAGACCAGTCATGGCAACACAGCAAGACCTCATCTCTACAAAAAAACAAAATGTTTTTTAATTAGTCATGTGTGGTGGCACACACTGGCTGAGGTAGAAAGACTGACTGACTCCAGGAGTTCGGGGTTGCGGTGAAGCAAGACTGCTAATGTACTCCAACCTGGGCAACAGATTGAGACTCTGACTCAAAAAAAAAATAGGCTATGGATATGAATAGGTAGTTCTTCAAAAGAAAAATAAATAGTGGCTAAATCTCTCATAATTAAAGAATTGGAAATCAAAGGCAACAGCAATTTTCAACCACTTGTAGAATGGAAAACAGTTCTAAGTTTGCTAATACCCAGAAAAGTCAAGAACACAGGGAAACAAGCACAAAACACACAATGTATTTACACTACCAACTAGATCAATCTTAAAAGACATATACCTTTAGAAAGTACACTAAACTGGGCAAGGTTGCTCACCCCTGTAATCCCAGCATTTTGAGAAGCAGAGGCAAGAGGATTGCCTGAGCCCAGGGGTTCGAGATCAGCATGGACAACTTGGCAAGACCTCATCTCTACAACAAATCAAAAAGTTAGCTGAGCGTGTTGGCTTGTGCCTGTAGTACCAATTACTTGCAAGGCTGAGGCGGAAGGATCGCCAGAGCCCAGCAGGTAGAGGCTGCAGTAGCCGTGAACATACCACCGCACTCCAGTCTGGGTGACAGAGTGAGACTCTGACTCAAAAAAAAAAAAAATTGAACTACCACATGATCCAGCAATACACTGGGGATATATCCAAAGGAAAGGAAGTACTGAAGAGACATCTGTATAACTATGTTTACTGCAGCAGTGTTCACAATAGCCAAGATACAGAATCAACCTGAGTGTTCACCAACAGATGAACGGACAAAGAAAATGTGGTATATATACATAATAGAATATTCAACTATTAAAAGAATGAGGTTGAGTGCTCAACAGCAAGTTTTGAAGACACCACCAAAGGATAAAGTGGCTCTAGAAAAGGGGGGAAAGGGAGAGCAGCCACCGGGAGTAACAGTCCTGACAAGAAGGCTCAGGGTCCTAAAGGTGGTGGCAATGCAGTAAAGGTCAGACACATTCTTTGTGAAAAACACAGCAAAATCATGGAAGCCATGGAAAAGTTAAAGTCTAGAATGAGATTCAATGAAGTAGCTGTACAATATAGTGAAGATAAAGTCAGGCAAGGGGGTGACTCAATTTGGATGACCAGAGGGTCCATGGTGGGACCATTTCAAACAGCAGCATTTGCCTTGCCTGTAAGTGGGATGGATTAGCCTATGTTTACAGGCCCACGAGTTAAGACAAAAATTTGGATATCATATTATTATGGTTGAGGGAAGAATATAAAATCATATGATAGACTGAAAAAAAAAGAATGAAACCCTGTCATTTACAGCAAAATGTACGAGCCTGGAAGTCATTATGTTAAGTGAACTAAATCAGGCAAGAAAGATAAATACCACATGTTCACACTCATACGTGGAAGCTAAAATAGTTGATCTCATAGAAGTAGAGAGTAGAACAGTGGTTACTAGGAAGCGTGGAGAGAATAGTGGAGATAGAGTGAGCTTCGTTAAAGAATACAAAATTATAGCAAGATGGAAAGGATAAGTTCTAGCATTCTATAGCCCTGTAGAGGGACTACAGTTAACAATTTATTGCATATTTTCAAATAGCTAGAAGGGAGGATCTTGGATGCTCCCAACATAAAGAAATAATAAATGTCTGACGACGGAGAAAGGAAATCATATTTAACAAATGAGGCTGAAAAAACTGGCCAGCCACATGCAGAATAAAACTGGATCCCTTACCTATCACCACAGACAAAAATTAACTCAAAATAGATGAAGGACTTAAATGTAAAACCTCAAACTGCTGGGCTCGGTGGCTCAGCCTGTAATCCTGCGCTTTGGGAGGCAGAGGTGAGTGGACTGCCTGAGCCCGCGGGTTCGGGACCTACCTGGGCAACTTGGTGAGACCTCATCTCTACAATAAAATAAAATAAAATAAAATAAAATAAAATAAAAAAGCCGGGCTTGGTGGCTCAGCCTGTAATCCCGCGCCTTTGGGAGGCTGAGGTGAGTGGATGGCCTGAGCCCGCGGGTTCGAGACCCGCCTGGGCAGCGAGACCTCATCTCTACAATAAATCAAAAAATCAGCCGGGCGTGGTAGCGCATGGCTGTAATTCCGGCTACTCGGAAGGCTGAGGCGGAAGGATCACTGGAGCCCAGTAGGTCGAGGCTGCGGTGGCCGGGAGCGGCCACTGCACTCCAGTCTGGGCGACAGAGTGAGACTCCAACTCAAAACAAAACAAAACAAAAAAAAAAAAAAAAAAAATTAGCCAGGCGTGGTAGAGCGTGCCTGTAGTTCCAGCTACTGGGAAGGCTGAGGCGGGAGGATCGCCGGCGCCCAGCAGGTCGAGGCTGCGGTGGCCGAGCGGCCACTGCACTCCAGTCTGGGCGTCACAGTGAGGTTCCAACTCAAAAAAAAAAAAAACCTCAAACTACAAAAATCTTACCAAAACATTTAAGAAACACTCGTCTGAACATCAGAATAGGCAATGAGTTCACAAGCAGGTCCTCAAAAGCAAATTCAACAAAAGCAAGATTGACAGGTAGGACCTTATCAAACTGAAAAGTTTTTACACAAAAAAAAGAAACCATCAAGAGAGTATCTCGACAATCCACGGTATGAAAAAAATCTGCAAGCTATTCAACTGATAAAAGTCTACCATCTAGGAACATCTAGGAATTCAGATAAATTGACAGTGAAAAAAATGTTTAAATATTTTGAAAGATAAGTGGTCCCCAGCATTGCAGATCCACATAGTCCTGCTCTCCATCCAGGCTTTGTTAAATGCTTCCAACCAGGACGATCTGCTAGCAAATAGTTGCAGAGCAGTGGAAGATCAATGAGGCCCAAGCCACAGAAACAGCTAGAGCATGGACTAGGCTATATGCCATGAATAATATTTAAATCCATCATCAAGTGCATGTCACTTCTCCTGTTCTGCCAAGACTTCTTCCTCTTTTGTTTGCATTTAATGGACACAGTCTTAGAAACATTCAGAATAAAAGCCCAGACATCTTCAGTTCTTTGGTGATTAAATGCACATTAGTTAAAAAAAAAAAAAAAAAAAAAAAAGGCGGGCAAAGGATAAGAATAGGCCGGGCTCAGTGGCTCAGCCTGTAATCCCACGCTTTGGGAGGCTGAGGTGAGTGAATTGCCTGAGCCTGTGGGTTCGAGATCCACCTGGGCAACTTGGCGAGACCTCACCTCTACAATAAATCAAAAAATCAGCCCGCGTGGTAGCGCATGGCTGTAATTCCAGCTACTTGGAAGGCTGAGGCAGAAGGATCGCCTGACCCCAGCAGGTTGAGGCTGCGGTGGCCGGGAGTGGCCACTGCACTCCAGTCTGGGCGACAGAGTGAGGCTCCAACTCAAAAAAAAAAGGGATATGAATAGACACTTCTCAAAGAAAGCCACTCAAGCAGCCAACAAATATAAGAAAAAATGCTCAGCCTCACTCATTATCAGAGAAATGCAAATCAAAACTACATTGAAATATCACCTAACACCAGAAAGGATGTCTATTATTTAAAAAGTCAAAAAAACAACAGATGCTGGTACGGTGTGGAGAAAAGGAAATGCTTCTACACTGTTGGTAAGAATGCAAACTACTTCAACCTTTGTAGAAAGCAGTGTGACATTTTCTCAAAGAACTAAAAACTGAGCTTCCATACAATCCCACTTCTGGGAATATGCCCAGACAAACATAAATCACTCTACCAAAGAGATATCTGCAAAGGTATGTTCATTGCAGCACTATTCAACATAGCAAAAACATGGAACCAACGCAGATGCCCATCAAAAATGAACTGGATAAAGAAAATGTGGTACATATACACAATGGAATACTACATAAAGATCAACAAAATCATGTCCTTTGCCGCTGGAGATCATACTAAGTGAACTATCACAGAAACAGAGGAATGAATGCCACATGTTCTCACTTTCATAAGGGAGCCCTAATCACTGATCACATGAGCGCAAGAGTGGGATCAACAGATGCTGGGCAATGCCAGAGGAGGGAGGGAGGGAGGTAGCAACAGACAACACACTGGGTACCAGGTTCACTACTGGGGGAGAAAGGGCCTGCTAGAAGCCCAAACTTCACCTGCATGCAACTTACTTATGTACAATTAAATCCTCACTTGTACCTCACAATGAAAATAAAATAAAAAGTAAAATAAAGGAATAGAAAAAGTAAATAGGTTTATAATCATTAAAATTATTTAATAATTAGAAATAAAAATCTCTAGATAATTAGTAATAGAAGGAAAATGTTTAACCAGCATGTGTGCCCACTACAAAATTAAAAACAAGACACATTCTAGGATGTATTTGTAAGTCATATAACCAAGAAAATATGAGAAGATAAAGTTAGAGAACTCTTACAAATAAATTTTAAAAACATCCAGAATAAAAACAGATAATTTAAAAGGCAATTCAAGAAGAGGATCTAGAAATCACCAGTGTATATGTAAAACATCGACTTTCACAGTACTCAAGAAAATCAAATTAAAAGAACTTACTATTTCACTTGTATCAGATTAATAAAAATTACAATGTCTGATAATACTGTGTTGATAAGAATATAGGGAGATGAGGCTATTATACTTTTCCAGATGGAGAAAAATTACCACGGAGAGAATAATTTATACATCCACTTAGG